AGACAAAACTGTATAGAGTATTATTTAGAAAACAATAGAAACAATTGTAGAAGCATTTAAATCAGTTTTATAGGAAAAAAGTTTACAAAAACTATATTTGTTTCTACTGAGTTATCTGTACAAATAACTATAATGGAAAGTATGTTTTTCCCAAAAAATATGTATAGTACTGTAGAAACAATAGCTTAATCACCATACTAAAAAAATATATATATGATATAGAAACTTTAGGCATATGCAGCAAGTTCTTTTAGAGGACCTCAGATGCATACAGTACAGTACATATCGATCGCAATCCACTACTCAGAATGTAGTACTAACTAGAATTCTAAACTTTGTACATTATCGAGTATAGTGTGATACATTAGTTTACATAATATAAAGTCCATAAAAGGTGCCTCGCAAGTTTATACTTGCGACGCCTGTAGAAGCAGAAATATTTACTTTTATGTAAAGAAAAGTATTGAAAGTAACACCTGTATTAAAACAAAGTAAATTAACAGGAGAACAACTCTGGAAATGATTATAAGAGGAAATTATGGATGAAAATACTTTTTATATAATAATAATTTCGAATACTTTCAGAACAGCCGAATAATCCAATTAAAACAAAATATAAAACCATAAATACTCAAAGTAAATAAATATAAAATTAAATGTGAAAGACACCAGAAAAAACAGTAAACAGATTAAACTATGTTACAACTGATCAAAGAACTAGAAAAAGTATTCACCACACTGGAATACAACCGGGAAACAACTAACAACACATGCAAAACAATACAACAAACCAAAAAAACACCGCAACTAGTTGAATTTTGTGTTTTAGAATCACTCTACTATTTATAGTAAACAACAAAAAGAAATCTTTACAACAAAATGTTATTTTTTTATAATTTTAACAAGTAAAAAGTTATTTTCGAATAATTAAGCTTTAAAAAATAAATAAATAACAAGGAAACAAGCAAAAATAGAGTGGGAACAGCTAAAACACTAGTCTAATAAAAATGAACCAATAAAAAGAAGCATAATTAAACTACTTATTACATAAAAGGACACAATTAAAAACACATTCAAAACAATACAACAAAGCCGAAAACACCACAGCTAGTGTTTTTTTAAACCACATTATTGTTTACAAACAATAACAATAGAATAAAACGTTAACTTCTTAAAAAATTTTTATAAATAATTAAACAGAAGAGAAGAAAAACAAGGAAAAAAAAAAAACACTTTTGTTGTGTCTGTTGCAGCAGTGTTAAGGGACAAAATACTATAACAGACAAAACAGTTAGGATGGCCGTATAAAATTAAAATCAATAAAAATCAAGGAAATAAATATAAAATTAAATATAGAAGAAAGCATAAACGATAGTAAACATATCGAACTGTGTTAGGACAACACAACCAGGAAACAATTAACAACACATGCAACACACATGAAAAAACAAAAAAGGTGCAACTAGTGAGGCGGTTTATGACAAAATCACAACAGAAATTTTTTTTGATGTATTTTAAAAAATTTATTTACTTATTAATTAAACAAAAAGAAAGGAAAAATAAGATAAATATCTTTTAAAAAAATGAACTGGAAAATGTACTAAATTAAATTTCAAATAATTTAATATTTAACGAAGGAAATTATCTTTTAAGAGGCGATTTCTTTATTATTTTTTTACTTTAATTATCGATTTACTTTTGAAAAAGTTAAATCGATAAAAAATAAAAAAATAAAATAAAATTCTGTATTTTCGTACAGAGATAAAGAAATTTTTATGAATTTTTCTTTGTGGTATATTGTTGTCTTTTCTGTTCATTGATGAAAGGATTTTCTATTATTATTATTTTTAATATAAATATGCAGGAATTTTTATTAATATTAAAATTATAAAGGAATATTTTCTACTTCACTTACTCGTCTGTCGTTTATGACAGGTTGATCGTTGATGAACCATAATAGTTCTGCTGGCGGTTTCGACTTGGCAGAGGTGCAATTGACGTTCACTTCGTCACCTACTTGATATTTTGGTTTACCACCCGTAATCGTTGGCCCGTCTCCAAGTAAACCTGCAACAATAAACCAAACCCATTCACCTAGCCTTGAACACGTTCAAGTCGGGAGTGATATTACGAGGTTACAAAGTTTCACGACCTTTTGTACACTTGGCAACCTCTCCCCCTTTACGAGTTGTGTATTATACAGGTTGGAGGAACTTGTCGACTTCGTTTTAGCGTTTTATATTGTCAGAAAGTTTCAGAGCTCTTATTGGGTTCATGCTTCTCAATCTCTCTTACTCAGTTACATCGTTTTAGTGAATTACATCGTAGAGAATTTAAGTCTCTCGGGGTACTGAACAATGTTAAAATCGGTAGAAGAATCAACGAATTAGTTGAAAACATTGTTTAAATCATATTTATACTTGGCAAACCCCCCGTTTTAGCTACTAGTACAATTTGGGTTCGCGACTCACCGGTTGAGAATAATATTTGGTGACTAAAAAGAAGTAAAGTGGAAAAGAAGTGCAACGAAATTAGGCAAATGTGGCGTGACCAAAACTCTTCGTCTATCCCATTTACCACTTTCAACTGGGTATTTTTTTATTTTATTTTATTTTTTTTAAGCGTGATGTACCAAAAATTAAATTCCAACCACGTTCGATCATGTGGAAAACCTCGAGTCTCGAAGAAAACGAATAATTACTGTCGAGATAAACCATGTGGAACATTACTGTTTGTCGCTTCGTACCGAGTCTCGTGCTTCAAAATGAAATTTATAAAAAAAAGAAGCTTCTCACCCCCCTCAAGTGTGGAAATTTCTTCTTATTTTGTGAATTAAAAAATTCTTGTATCGTTTAAATTCCTTCTTTTTCTCTTCTTTTTTTCAAAAATGCTGTTAAGTAACTGTGTTACAGCGTGAAAGACAGGCGTATTTTTCAAGTACCGTTACGAATGTTTTGTGTATTGTTTGCCTTAGCTAAATAAAAATATAAAACGACAAACGTTTCGTTTACAGCGTGAAGGACAGATCTTTTAAATGAAATATTTGACACTTCGTTTTAAAAATTCAGACTTATCTGTAAGAACGGAATATTTCGTAGCAGCAAACGTTTTTAAAGCGTGAAGGACAGACGAATTTCAGAATATTTTTCTAGTATAGAAATAAATGTCTCGTGAATGTTTTGTTCCTAAATGCCAGCTTGTCTTAGGGAAAAAAACCGTCCATTTTGAAAAAGAAACGATGATAAATATTGATAGTTAACTGACAGTCTGGCAGTATTGGTATTTACTTGTCTGTCCTTCACGCTATATTTTTCTGACGTATAAACGCGTGCTGTTACGTAAACTGGCCGCCATCTTGAAATGTTTGCCATTTTAAGTGAAAGCACGAACTTTTGTCCGTCCTTCACGCTGTATTTCGCGCTGTATTTTTTTCAAACTTACGGAAACTAAACTAAACAGCACATGTTTTGTATGTAGGACTGTATTTAAAAGCGAAAATTATCCACCATTTTGAAAGAAAACAGCAGGCAATTTTCGTGAAAAATATTAATTATTTTTTAAAATTTCAATTCTAGTCCTTTGCTACTTCAGTTATAAATATTTACCATTATTTCAATTCTATTGCGATGCTATGACAATAATAAATATTGATTTTTCTTTTATTTTTTACTTCTTTTGCCGGCACTCTAATAATAAATATTAACATTTATTTCCATTTCTATTTTTGCGCTGTAACTCTTTATGAATATTAATTTTTATTTTAGTTTCGCTGAAGTACTACTACAACAATAAACTACAATTCTGACGTCGCGCTTCCATAATAATTAATATAGATTTCTGCTTTGATTCTAATGAATTATTACCATTACAGCAATAAAAGACATTAATATGCTCTTACAACAGTAAATACAGTCGAACCTCCTAACAACGGCCACCTCTATACAGCGGCCACTTTTTATATTCTCTTCACAGGGCTTTATGTTAATCTCAGTGCTGTACTGTTACAATAATTATACATTTCTGTTTGTTTTAATTCTTATTAAGTGCTACTATAGATTAATAATAAACGTTGTTTTTATAGTATTGAAACTGTATAAAAGAAGGTTTAATTGTGTTAGGTTTTTATTTTTATTTCTAATTTAATGCTACTAAAATAATATGAGATCCCTCTTCTGTTTAGTTCCTTGCTGGTTTAGTAACAATAGGAATATTTTTACCCCTACAAATGTAATTTTTGAATATAAACCTTTATAAATCCTTCAGGCGTTAAAATATCTTGTATCGAGTAGGGGGAGGATGTTTAGATCTGTGGATTTTTTTCCTGCAAACGTTCAGTTGTGTAGCGTTAAAAGGACTAGGTATGGTGACAATTTCTAGTTTATCTACATAACTGTGTAGCATCCCAAACGTCAGGTTTTTTTCCCCTTTCCTATTGGCTTTAACAACTAACAAACACTCCAATAGTGGAGCCTCAGGTGGATGAACTAAGTTAAAGAACTCAATTTTCTCCATTTTGTAGATAGAATCGACACTCACCAGAATGAAAGCCTGAGGCACGAGCGTTATCACCAACAATGATTTCTTCGCTACTCATAGAATATGCTTGAGATATAACAGCAGTGCAGCGCAATTTCATAGATCCATTCCAGAAGTGGACAGGCCTAGCTTCGAAGTTCAACCCCAGGGTAGAAATCTGTAACCTGTCTTTGTGTCTCAGGGGTCTTGTTCTTGTTTCGTACGATACGGGTGCCTGTGATACAGATTAATCGATATTGATACAGGAGGTGAAGAGAATAAAAGAGATTTTTCGCAGCTTACCTCTTTGCCATTGATGTACCACTTTAGTGTTGCTGCCGGTTTTGAAGGTCCTGCCGAGCACGTGACGTTTACTTCGTCTCCAATTTGGTATTGTGGTTTTATGCCGGTTATTGTTGGGCCATCCTCTGGTAACACTATGAAAATAGGTACGTGTTTTAACACCTGGATACGTCTCATAAAAGAAATGCAAATGATGCAAATGTTAATTCGACAAAAATTCAATTGCTATTCATGTGATCTCGTTAGGAGGTATTATAAAAATTGGATACTACAACATGATTTATAGGGTAGGAAACTACAACAAAAGTCATCAGAAAGATAAAGTGATTCAACAAAAATGGGAATTACATCAAAGAGAAGAAAAAAAGTCGGGTACAAAAGTGAAAGGAGAATGAGAAACGAAAGATAAAATAGAAAAGAAGAAAACAAGAAAATACAGACATACAAACAGACCCGCGCGCGCACACAACACTGGGAGAGGGAGGAAGAGAGGAGATAAAAATAAAGACGTAAAGTCAAAGAAAAAATTAAAATAACTAAAATATGAAGAGTAAAATATGGAAGCTAACACGCGAGAAGCTAGAAAAAATGATTAAAAAAATAATTTCAAAAAGTTAAATTAGAAAATGTTGCTGTTATTGTTTGCCCTTTTTTGAAAGGAATTATTAAAAAGTAAAGGAGGATGAGAAAATAAAAAAAAATAAATAAAGCGTTTAGACAAGAAATTCCTGTCTCTTTTTATTCTTCTTTATCACAAAGTTGAAAAAGTCGAAAATAAATAAATTTTACTTTGAATTTTTTCTTGTTCTTTAGAAGCAAAAGATCAAAAATGACCAGAAAATGTTACAAAAATAGTAATTGAAAAATGATCGCGGATTTGTCACTAAAGGTGTCAAAGTTTGATAACGAAGCCAAACTTGAAATCATTCGGCCACAAACCCCACATAACGCGAAATCTAGGCATGTAGTTAATTAGAACAACCGCCAAATCACCAGAAGCAAGGAAGCCATCTTCCCCCTATGGCAAAAGTGGATTGAACGTAGCAGATACCATTAAACTCGGTAGGAGACTACTCTGTGTAATTATTCCGTCCTTTGAGATGATTAATATCATTAGCCACAGTATAAAGCCCCGGGTCTGTATGCTACCAAACTTACTGTCATACATATGTATGCGGAGTTTTGTAATGTAGCAAAGTCATGCTATTATCATTTAACATAAAAATCACTACGTACGAATATCGCATTCGACCGTAGCACCGACAAAAAAAAACAGAATTACTAAGGCACAAAAGTTGCAAAAATGGGTTATTTAAATTATTAAAATTAATTTTTAAGCTTTTTATTAAATAATAATATTAAAATTCGTTAACAACGCCGCTCCTCCGAACGTGAAGTCAATAGTTTTTAAACGAAATTTACGATGCACGGAAGCTTAAATTGTAAATTGTTTACGTTAGTTATAATTAAAAAAACGTATTAATTAATTAATTAATATAATTTTAAGCGTTTCGATGCAGTAATATTATTAGACTTTTAGCATTTCATTTCATTACTATTAAATATAGTAATGAGACTATAGCGCCGACCCCAAAAAACAAGTGTTTTTAAGAAAAAACTCCCCAAAAATTGTTAAACAAGAGAATAAACAGTAAAAAAATTGCTGCTCTAATAGTTTTTAATCTTTTTAGTGCAAACAAATAAAAATTAATTACTTAAATTTGACTCTTATCATTTAGAACCAAAATGGACGTCGTTCATGATCGCAGCGCCACAACGAAAAAAGATTTGCATTTAAAATCTAAAAAGAATCCTTAAAAATGTTTTTCAAAATTATTAAATACTTAAAATTTATTATTTTAATCGCACTTGTAAGCATTGTTATGCAAAAATATTAAGATTAATCGTTGCTTTGATTGTGTGTTTGCGCGCGTGTTTATACGAAGGATATATTTTAAAAAAGAGGGTAGAAAATAAAAAGTACATGTGATAAATCTTCAGCATCCTTTGCATCATAAAAGCTGCAAAATGCGATATATTTATGAATGAACCATCAATTGACTCTTTGACACTCTTTGTGATTTTTTCGAAAGGGGATTTCATAACTCCCAATACAGTGGTATCTCGTTACAGAAAGAAAACAGCAATTAGAAAGAACGATTGTAGATAACGTCATCTTGCAGAATGATTTATTACTACTCGTCTGACAAACTTTGCAGTTTGAATTATCAATATATCGATAGTGTATCAGTTGTTTTTGGGGGGTGTCGATGTCGAAATCTGATGACAGATATAGTTTCTTCTCCTATCTGAAGACAGTTATTGATGATGCGTATCGATAAAAACATTGAATTACCTTTATGGGGATCATATTAAATTCGAACCAACTTGTAAGCGAGATAAAATAAAGCGATGATACAACGGTATTATGAAAGAAAGAAGAAGGAACGAAAAAAATGTATCACAGTGCACTTTATTAAATTTTCAGTAACAGATGTTGAACCCTAATTTATCTACTCTGGTATTCATGAATAAGAATTATTAAGTGGAAAGTGTGATGATGTTCGTACGTGTAAAACGATTATGAAGAGTTATTGCACAGAAATTGGCATTTAAAGCTGTTTTAATAATATTTAATTAACACTTTAAATTTTGGCACTTGTCCGAAAATTAGAAAATTTTCGAACAAGTTCAATTTCTGTTGTTTTTCTCCTATTCACTTTGGTGTACGCTATTTTATTTTCCTGTATAACTTTGAGCATGTTGTTTACTATCCAGTACACATTTGTGCATGCTGTTTATTTTTCTGCACACTTTCGTGCGTGCTATTTATTCCTCGATACACAGTTTTATATATGATACACTGTATATTGTTTTATATACTTTAGGTATACAATTTATATAGTATTTAGAAAGTATTTTAGTATACTCTTTTATATTATGTATTATTGTGTACATAGTTTATATGTAAATTAGATGTTCACAGTTATACAGAAATAGAAGAAAACATATTTTCTAAATCTCTTATTTTGAATAATTATTTTTCTCTTACACATTTATAAAAGTTATGTATATCTGTCCTAAACGACACACTTTTCTGAACTCTGTTTTGTGGTATTGTTTACATAAAAATTAACACTCAAAATGTCGCAATTATATAAAAATTTGATATTCTTTTTCTCTATAATTTCATTCTGCGCGCTGATCTTGCATGTTTTATTTGTATTTTTAATGAGAATTTAATATTTTGTTATTGTACTTACACACTTTTACGTGTAATCACTGCACAATTAACACGAAGGGGTAGTAGTAATCGATAAATACTAATGTAAATAAGCCAATAGTGGATGGAACAAAGAGCAAAAGTGGACCATCAGATACAGACAGACACACACACACACACACACATATATATATATATATACATATCGTGACTACTGTCACGCATCACGTATATTTTAAATAGTGATATCAATTGGAATCGTAGGGATGTACGTAAAATAAAGTATAATTGAGAAAAATACTCTTTAATTCTAGAAAAAAAAACTGTGTTGGAAAGGATTTTAATTAAATTTACAGTTTTTAAAACTAGGGAGAAACTCTAAGTTTAAAAAAATTAGATTAAAAAGTAGAACCGAGAGGAGGAATTGATTGTAAGTGAAGTGTGAAGTGGAATCATTTTTCAAGAAAAAAAAAATAAGGAAAAAAAATTAGTTCAGGTGAGAATATTTTCACCTGTTTCAACCGGCAATATCAATTCTATCATCAAAATCGGAAATTATTTTTTAAAAAAGTAAGAATTCCTTACGTTACGTCCCTCACAATAAAAAAAAAAATAAGGTTAATAGATTAAAACAAAATGGAGATTTAAATATGGCGGTTTGTGTTTATATATCGATGCGTTACCTTAGCAACTCACATACACACACGCACGCACACGCATACAACACACGTCACAATTAGGTATGGTAAAACACACGATAAAATTCCCACCCCCGTCATACTTTACTTCCACTACGACGTCACCAGGCGAAGTGAAGTGTTGGCTTTATAGTTGTCAGTTCACAGATGTATTTGACGGTGTCGTAAAGTAGAAGATCGTAAAAATTGAGTGGATTGGTTTTATGTTTGGTCGTCTGAGTGTCTGGAATCTCAAAATAGTCAATAACTAGTTTATTTACTTTTCTTTTATGCCAGTTATCAATTCGATATTAGCGCTCGCTCTATCGATTTGCTGTATCTCTTCAGATATTTAAAGTAGTTCAATAAAATGTTGCAAGGATCGACTTGCAACACTTCTGTGGGCTTATCTAGTGTGGTTTGATGTGTTTATTTTACGTTAAAATATTAATAAAAATCGATTTATAAAAAAAAAAAAATTATTATTTCTTTAATGTTTACTTTCCTCTACGTGAAGAGGGTAATCATCGTTTACAATCTTCCTTATGTAAAGTAGGAGGGGGTGCAAATGGTTTATCGTGTGAAACGGGTGAAGAGTAATGTCGCCAGTCCTTATTTTGCTTACGAAAATATAGTGTGAAGATAATTATCGGGTTTCTTATACGTATGATATTGAATATAAATTATGCATGATGCGGTGTATAAGAGCTTTACGAAGAAGGGTATGCATGTAACGATGCATTCATAGAGTACGGTGTAGTATAAAGAGATTAATTAAAGCATGTATTCCTGTTTATCAGCATCCTGTGCATCAGTTAGTATGCAAGAATCTCGTGTTTATGATGATCTCTCGTGATGTTGAATATGAAAAAACTGTTGTAACCTTATATAATGATTTAAAAACGTATTTTTTAACGTAGGACCACGAAGGGTGAGATATATTGCTATCGACATCTCCTGAATTCAGCAAAGAACGAGATTCAATTCTACTAAATTTATTTTCTAGATATAAATAGAATAAAGGGCCTGTAGTTTGTCTCGTGCATAAACAAAGTAGACTTTAACAGAAACGAAACTCGACTCGACACAAGCTCATATCCATGATTAAAATTTAGTTTTCTTGCGTACGTCATACGTGTTATAAAATAATAAAATTTAACATAAAAATTTAATTATAATGTTTATTTTAACTCGTTTCTTCTAAGTGAATAAACATAAAGAAAGAGATGATATCTTTGGCGGCTTCACGCTGATTTATTTGGCATGTAACAGTCACTAAGTGTTATTTATGTCTTGGATACGACAAGATTTATGCCTTTCGATTCTATTTTTAAATGAAAATCCTTAAAATTCGAGCTTCACGAATCAATAACTTCACATAACTGAATCGAGATGCGAGGATGATGATGGTTTTTAATTAATTGAGATAAGCACTCTCCAGTGATCTTGTTAGTTCTAGAAGCTAAATATGATTTTTTAAAAAATACGCATACAAGGTATTGTTGTAGATATGTATCATCAGTCGACTGTCTAGAGTAAGATAATTTATTTATAAATATCAGTTACAAAACATCCCTCTACAAGATGGCGTAGAATGTTTTTAAAAGTCTAACCTTTGGGGAGGGATAAAGACATAAATGCACGATTCCTTTGCATTGTGTAGAAGACAAAAATCAAGTCATTATGTTAGGAATATAACACCCAACAGCTGGAACATCAACACTGTAGTCATGACTGCGGGTATTTTGTACAACGTAAAACAAAATGACAGCTTTGGGATCTCAAAGCATTAGAAGAGGTACTCTCAGGAGATGCTAGTATCCCATCCTGAGAGACCAAAAATCAATCATTCTTACCGTAATTCTCGTGCTGTCAGTGTAAAGAGTCGAGCATTTTTTCGACACCTTTATGTATTATCTGATCAAATTCCCCAAAAGGTTTTTATTTTGATCAAGAAAGATTTACAGAACAGGAAAAAAATAAAGTATAAAGCGTATAAGAGAATTTTTAACTTGATCTATAGAAAAAATGGTATTTGCTAATGGAGGAAATATATTAACATGATCATTTTTATCTAAAATAGGATCAAGTAGAGGTGCTGGTGGGGATTTGCATAGTGCAGGTGGAAGCTGAGTTACGTAAACCCTATTGTTTTCCATTTAGGATGATGAATTTTTCAACATAGTTCCGGTGGTATATATACCAAAAAACGATGTAATAAAATCGAAAATATAATCAAATTTACTATAAAAAAATGAGAACAGAATGTATCGTGACGTGCACATTTCCAGGAGGGGTCAGAAAGCTGACAGATGTAGTAATTTTCGTATATAATCTGGAACTATTAAGCGTATCAGAAACACACGAGTTAGTCATCTAACACACCTTCTACTACTATTAAAGTAGGTTATTTCCCACTCAGGGGTTCATCATCTAACTTTTGTTTGTGGAACCTTCATTAAATAGGGTGTGCGTGCAGGGGAACGGTTGCACAGAACAGCTTTCTATTCCCACACCCGTTTGGGCATTTAAAACTGAGAAAGTTTAACGAACAAAAGCATCAAATAAAGCACCATCCCCCTAGTTGTTTAACTATCGACGAGGAAATCATTTGAGGCATCGATTCTTCATTACATGTCAGTTTAGATTGAATAGAACAAGATCATAACTTAGTGATGTTAGTCGCGTGTTCGAGCTGACTGCAGTAGCAAGTTAAAACACTTTCGTGCTCTTTTGCTGTAGGGACTAGAGAAAATTTGCATCATAAGAACATGTGAATAACACACCTCCACCTGTTTCATGGCAGCTTCTTTAAAATTCTACAG